AAAAAAAAAAAAAAAAAAAAAATCACCGCATGAGGACTGGTCGTATTTATCCAATCTTCCTTATTTTGAAGGCTGGCACATTGCAAACACACAGTTTCTAGCTGAAATGCAGTCAGTAATACTGCACAATGAGCAGGCAGATAACTAAAGTCCAAACCATGTGAAACTTTAAACACAGACCAACCTTAGTGCTTATAAAAAGCAACTATGAAATTGTATATATTTCTGGGGAGGAGGGAATGGGGAGTTATTGCTTAATGATTATAAGAGTTTCTGTTTGGGGTAATGAAAAAGTTTTGGTTATATATAGTAGTGATGGTTGCATGATATTGTGAATATAATCAATGTAACTAAATTGTACACTTAAAAGTGATTAAAATGGAAAAATTTCATGTTACATATCTTTTGTCACAATAAAAAAAGTTAGCAAGCAAGAAATAAAATTGCATGTATTTCTCCTTTGCAGTTCTGCACTATCCAGATGTTTAATAAGATTTAATTATAAATAATATCTTAGCATTATAATTCCATTTTAGTTATAAAACTTCTACAGGTAAAAATAATAAATAACTCAGTATAAAAACTACAAAATTACTTGCCTAATTGCCTTTCTTTTCTCTTGTTGATCAGAAGAGACATATGCCTTCATCTCATCAGTAGCGCGACAAAGTTGTACTTCTAGGTTCTAAGTGGAAAGACTAAGTTTTAGGTTAAGTTCTTGATATAGAAAAACCTCAGAAAAGTTTTTGATCCACTCTCTTTGTCTTACCTTAATCATACAATTTGTATAATGATATCTACTTTCTTCTTGAAGGCATTCTTCACGGAGTCCTCTGACTTCCTACAATATATAATTTTAAATGGACAACATTATTGAAAGAATAATCAGATGCAAAGATGACTTTAGATGTACAACAAAAGAAATACCATCAGAGTAATTTCTTTTTCTGTGATTGTAACTTTTTACTGTAATAGACCAGGTTGCAGTCTTCGAGATTACTCATATCACTCTAAAACGTACAGGTTCAGTTACTCATTTATTAAGTACGTACTTTGTACCCAGTTCTGGCTAGAGGGGACACATCAGTGAACAAGAGAGAAAGGTCTTGCTCTCATTCAAGTAGAGGAAACAGGTGTAAGTATGGAAACACGTAATGAAGTTTGTTTCAGGTAGGGATAGTCCTATGAAGAAAATTCAGCAGTAGAGTAGAATGTGACAGGGTAACTGAGTGCACGATGTTAGATAGTGTGATCAGAGAAGACCTTTAGGAGGAGGTGACATTTAGGCTGAGACCTGATAGATAAAGAGATCAAGGCAAAGAGCTGTGGGGACAATGTCCCAGAGATAAAAGCACAGGTAAATGCTCCAAAGTGAAAACACACTTGGCCTGTCTGAAGTATGAGAAGAAGGCCAGTGTGGCTGGAGCCCCAGGGATGAGGAATAGAGCACATGGATATGGAGTTCATGAGGCAGTCAGTGGGGCCTGTGGACTATAGTTTGGAAGTTAGGTTTTAAGTGCTATGGAAAGCCACAAGGGTGACTTAAATTTTATACAAGTTTCTTTCGCCACTCTATGGAGAAAAAAATCTGAGGCAGTCAAGAGTGGAGGTGGCAGAGCAGTTCCTGCTGGAGTCTAGGAAAGACGTCATGGGGGCCTGGGCTTTGGCAGTAGTGGTACAGATGGAGAATTTAGTGTGTACACATCAAGTCTGAAGGAATAAAGATCTCTGGACTTAGGAGACGGACTCAGAGGATGAGGGATTTGGGGATTTTTTAATATTGATGTAGTGAAAATGCATATATAGGTAGTTTCTGCTAAATTGTTAAGATAAACACTGTCTTACCTGTTCTAATTTGGACCGATTGCTTTCAAGGCCTGCTGCACAGCTATCATACTGGGATTTCTTTTCATCACACTCTTGGGTTAGCTCCTATGAAAAAGATAAATGATTGAATAAATGAAAAACAAAGGCCTAAAATGTGGCTCTGAAACAATGCATGCCCTTGTCAGTCTTGTAACTTAACTCTAAGCTTCTTGGCATACTTAGGAGTTATATATACAATAATAAGACATTTGAGAATTATGACAGATGAAGGTGCTGATAAAAATAATAGCTAGCATGTATTAGCTGTGTGCTAGGCTTTTTATTAGGAGCTGGGGATACAACAGTGAACAAAACAGCCAAAATCCCTTCCCCTCAAATAATGGTAAGACAAGTAAACATACTGCTGAGGGCTGTGATGGGCAAATGCAAGTATTACAGGAGCACATGGGACTCTCACAGGGCATAACCCAGGCATAGGGATCAGCAAGGACAACTTCCTGGAGAAATTGATATCTAAGTTGAGGTACAAAGGATTAGTAATACTGCTGAGGGCTGTGATGGGCAAATGCAAGTATTACAGGAGCACATGGGACTCTCACAGGGCATAACCCAGGCATAGGGATCAGCAAGGACAACTTCCTGGAGAAATTGATATCTAAGTTGAGGTACAAAGGATTAGTAAGAATAGTTACGGGGAAGGTGGACAAGGGGAGGAGAATGTTCAGAAAAAGGAACACTATGTATAAAGGCTTGGAAGCCAGAGAGAAGAACAATTTAGGATGTACAAGTAGTTTATTATACTGGAGTATGTCAGAGAAGTGAGAGAAGAGGCTGAAAGCTTTGACCTGATTAGAACTTTGTAAACCATGTTAGGTTGTTTGAGCTTTATTCTTGACAATAACTAAATCTCACTGCAATCCCTTGAGGTAGGTATTAATATCCCCACATCATGCTTGGAGAAAGTTCAGGCAGGTCAAATATCTTGCCAAAGAGTATACTGCTCGAAAGGGGTGTCAGAATTCGAATTCAAGCAATTTGAGTAGTTTCAAACTTCTTCTAATGTAGTATTTTAAATTAGATGATCTGAAAATCCTCTGCTATAAATGCTTGATGAAGTAGAGAAAACAAGTGCTTGATAAAGTAGAGAAAATATCTTTCAAATTCAGAGCTGAACTGAACTTTAAAGAAAGTGAGAGGAATTACCAGGGTCAGAAAGAAAGACACCCTGTGGCTACTATCCTTACTGAAGGGTACTGGGAGCTGTCAATCTCTATAACAGAGTGATTATTATATCCAGACAGGGCAGAAGACAGGGTGGAAGTTAGAACTGAGAACCCCATAGCATCCAAGCTATTTTTCAACCTGTGAGTAAAGGGTTAACACCAGGCCTGGACAGATGCAGGCCAGCCTCAGAATGACTTTTGGTTTCACAGCACAGTTCCCTTGGGAACTGAGAGTTAATACAAATGGGTAATGTGTGTGTTTCCTTCGTTATGCGGGACTGCATCTGGTTTGGGTTGACTAGCACAGTATAAAAGGTCAGTGGGAAAAAAGAGCTCTGGCTTTTATTATCAAAGTGACCTGCCTACACCTAGGACTCTCCTGGTGACAGTCATACACACCCTAAATGGGAGAAGGGGCAACAGAAACTGAGTACTTAGGTAGCTGTTGGGCCTCTCAATGAGATGAAGATACTGTTGTAGGTGAAAGCTTTTTTCATTTTGGTCTGTGAGTAGGATGACTCATCAGTAAATGCAGCTTTGCTGAGGCAGAGATGGACAGAAAAAAGGGGCCTGTCCTCAAGCAGATTTGGGGTTTGACTTTACCTATATAGTATAAGAACTCCCAAGCTAACACATTAACTCAAAATTAAACACCTGGCAGAACTGCAAAACTACTCTGGAGGGACATACCCTACATTGTGGCTTCCAGGATTCAAGTGGCAAAACTGTACTAAGATAAGCTCATTATACAAAAGTATAAACATATAAGGAAACAATCTATCATGAGTGAGAATCAGGAGATATAAAAAAACAGCAGGACTATAGCTCCAAGAACTTTGGATACTAGAAATAAGGCTATTAATATGCTTAAAATCATTGAAGTTACAAAGGAGGAACTGAAAAGAAAAGATTAAAAAAAGCATAGTAAGTAAAAATAGAAATGAAAAAATAGTCACTGAAATTAAAAACCAAGTAGATGGCATACAATAAAATTACACACAACTCAGGAAAAGAAAAGCATGAATGAGAATATAGAGCTAAAGAAATTATTTTAAAATCATCAGAGAGAGATAAAAACATGGAAATAAGAAAGTGAGGTTATGTAATACACAGCAGGTTTTCCCATTCCCTATATGCCTAACATCTATATCATAGGAGTTGCTGGAGAGCAGACTAGAAAAATAGGCAAGAGAAAACATGAAGATATTATATAGAATTTTCCCAGAATTAATGGAAGACAAAAAGCACAAATTCCAGCAGAGCAAATAAGATCATGGTAGTAATACTAGATAACACCAAAGATAAAGATAAGAATATTAAATCCAACTATAAGGAAGACATTGCCTAAAAAGCAATGAGAAACTGACCGCAGATCTTTCAATACAAGAGAAACCAGAAAGCAATGAAAATATATTTTTTTCTGACAAAACCATTATTTAAGAAGAACAAAAAGTTGGGGAGGGGGTTGATAAAGACTTGATAATATGGGTGAATGTTGAAGCCATAATGTTGTTCCTGTGAAACCTTCATAAGATTGTATACTAATGATACTTTAATAAGAAAAAAAAAAGAGTTTAGTTATAGTAATGACTTTTTACTAAGAGGACTACTAAGAGAAAACAAAAACAAGGAAATATAATTTCAGGAAGAAGGAAGCTGAATCCAGAAGGAAGGATTAAGATATAAGAAGCAATGATGAGAACTGCTAAAAATGTGGGTAAATATAAAGAGGAAACAACTGCATAAAGTAGTAATTATAACAGTAAAGACTACCCTGACAACTGCTTTTAGAGATGAACGAATAAAATGGAAATAAAATACCAGACAATAACAACATACATGTAAAATAGGAGGTGATAAATTATTGTAAGGTACTTATATTATTCAGGGAGATGCTGATTAATTTAGACTTTATTAGGTCAGGAAAATAGATTCAAAATTTTAAGAGTAAACAATATGAGAATAGAAGAAGGTAGAAAAGGAAATAAAGAGAAAAAAGAAGATAAAAGAAAACAGAATTGGTGCATTGGAAGGTAGGAAAGAACCAGCAAAGAAAAAACAGCAATTAGGATGTACATCACAGAAATAAACCCCAGCGTATCAATGGCAAGAGCAAATGTAAATGGCACTAAACTCACCAATTAAAAGACAGATTCCTAAACTAGATGTAAGAAACTATACCCACACAAAACTCAGCTGTATGCTATCCATGAGACATATATAGGACAAAAATAAGGACAGAGAAAGCTGAAAGTAAACAAATGGAAGATATACCAAGTAATACTAATCATAAGAAAGCTGGAATGTTTTTATTAATAGCAGACAAAATAAGACTCCTAAATAAAAGGCATTACCAGAAATGAAAAGAGTAAAAAGTAATGATAAATAATTCATCAGGAAGTTTCATAAAAAATAAGGAATCTTTTTAAAATTGTGGTAAAACATCATAAAATTTGCCATCTTAACTATTTTTAAGTGTTCACTTCAGTAGTCTTAAGCACATTCACACTGTTGAGCAATCAACCACCAGAACACTTTTATTCTTACAAAACCAAAACTCTATACATTAAACAACTTTTCATTCACCAGGAAATTTTGAACTATACATTTAAGAAGTTTGATCTGCTGAACACATGGACAACCCAATACTCAACAACTGGAAAATACAGTCTTTCAAGATCAAGTCACTAAAAAAATTAGGTTGGCCTCTGCTCTCTCCATGGCCATACTTAACCCCAGAGGACTGTGGAGCTTTATTTTTAAAATCTCAAGGAAATAAAGTATGATGTAAGGCAGACCCATAGACCAGTGGAATAGAATAGAGAGTCCAGATACAAATCCAAGCATATATGGTCAGTTAATATATGATAAAGGAGTCATGGATATATACAATGGGGAAATGACAGCCTCTTCAACAGCTGGTGTTGGCAAAACTGGACAGCTACATGTAAGAGAATGAAAGTGGATTATTGTCTAACCCCGTACACAATAGCAAACTCAAAATGGATCAAAGAGTTGAATGTAAGTCATGAAACCATAAAACTCTTAGAAAAAAATATAGGCAAAAATCTCTTGGACATAAACACGAGCAAGTTCTTCATGAACATATCTCTCTGGGCAAGGGAAACAAAAGCAAAAATGAACAAGTGGGACTACATCAAGCTGAAAAGCTTCTGTACAGCAAAGGATATCATCAGTAGAACAAAAAGACATCCTACAGTATGGGGAAATATATTCATAAATGACATATCTGATAAGGGGTTGACTTCCAAATTATATAAAGAGCTCATGCACCTCAACAATCAAAAAGCAAATAGGCCAATTAAAAAATGGGCAGAGGAGCTGAACAGACACTTCTCCAAAGAAGAAATTCAGATGACCACAGGCACATGAAAAGATGTTTCACATTCCTAATCATCAGGGAAATGCAAATTAAAACCACAATGAGATATCACCTCACATCAGTTAGGATGGCCACCATCCAAAAGACAAACAACAACAAATGCTGGCGAGGATGTGGAGAAAGGGGAACCCTCCTACACTGCTGGTGGGAATGTAAATTCGTTCAACCATTGTGGAAAGCAGTATGGAGGTTCTTCAGAATGCTCAAAATAGAAATACCATTTGATCCAGGAATTCCACTCCTAGGAATTTACCCTAAGAATGCAGCTCTCCAGTTTGAAGAAGACAGATGCACCCCTATGTTTATCGCTGCACTATTTACAATAGCCAAGATATGGAAGCAACCTAAGTGTCCATCAGTAGATGAATGGATAAAGAAGATGTGGTACATATACACAATGGAATATTATTCAGCCATAAGAAGAAAACAAATCCAACCATTTTCAACAACATGGATGGAGCTAGAGGGTATTATGCTCA